AAATATACTCATTGATTAGGAGTCACCGGTAAGGATTTTTGGGCAACTCATTGATTTTTAGATTGGTCTCTGCTTTTCCATGAGCCAGCTGTGGAAAAAAACTATCTGCTTAGGGAGCATTCAAATGATTGGTATTTATTCCGAGGTCAGTCCCTATTCACTGAAATGCTTTACCGACGAATCACTTAACTATACTGGTCTCACCAGGAGTTACTGATCGACTAGTAAAGCTAAATAGCTCTCTTGTAGATTATTCTAATAAATGTAAGTCTTTTCCACAACGGACACTCTGTACAAATGAGTTTTTTGGAAGCCCGCAAAACCTGCGGGAAAAAAAATCGCTAACCCCTAATCGTCAGTCATATGTAAAGTGCTCATTTCTAGAGCATTCTTATGAGAACAGACCAGATATGGGAAGACACTATCGTCAAAAAAGTTTTCCTGGTTGGCAAAAAACGTGAGTCAGTGAGGATAGCGAACAGCAACTTTAAAGATGGCGATTGACTCGTAATGTCACTAGCAGTTTAATAGATCATGAACGAATACAGGCTAGTTCCAGAATAAAACATCTTCGACAGACGAAGAAACTTTTAGGACTGCAGTAAACCTGCCCGAGAAAAATAAATTAGCCTAAAAAAAGAACACGTAGCTTAAGAGGGAGATAGATGGCTCAGACCAGCATAGTTCAGTTGTTTGTTTTTAAAATGTTCTAACGGCTGTCTTGTCTTTTCAAAGTGAGCTTCTATATGAAGCTCGTTACAGAATTACATTTGTATCAAAATCCATGTTTGGAAAGTTGAAACCGTGGTAGCAGAAGCGCTTATGTGTTGGTGAGATGTTCAGTGATAAACTTTGAATGAAATGCGCTATATATAGATTGATTATGTAAGCAGATTTTTGCGTAAAAAGGCATTGAGTTTATTGTGCGCATTTGTTGAAGTAGGTTGGTTTTTATGGTCAAGCGCATCGTGGTTAAGTTCGCTATCCACTAAGTAGAAGTTTCTGCCTGGGAGGAGGGAGGAGTAGCGGCCTTTGGACTGCCTCCATGTCTGGAAAAGTCATGTAGTTAGTGAGATTTTAAAGACGGCTTTGTCGCAGAAAGTTTCAGTGCAGAGGAGGCCTTCTGGCGAAAAATGGGGGATGAACGTTCATATGAAGTTTTGATAACTTCTTTATCTAGAACTGAATGTTAGCACAGCTCTTCAACTGTGACTGTTTCTGCTTCTGACATTTTTGAGTAGAATTATCTTTTAAAGGTAGTTTTATGTGATCGACTGGACTGTGCTGTACAGAAATGTTATTTTGTCGAATGAGACGGGAGGGAGAAACGACACAGGACGTATACGGACAAAAATTAATTATGCAACAGTTTTGCTGTCGCAGTGTGTTTAAGTCATTGAGGATGCTAAATGTGGGACAGTTGGAAGCTGCTGGAACCTAAACTGCAATATTTTTTGTGGTGCGATTCATTCCTGCAATTCATTTTCTTTAGTACTTGTTTTTGTGGTGCGCCAGTGATTTGGTGTCTGTCCATGGAAAAACATAGGAATTAGATATGAGAAACGAGTGTATTCCATGAAAGCAACTGTAAATGTTTTCGGCCTCCCGACACTGTAAGACAGTGGTTATGTGAACGACCCGATTGATTACTCTATACGATCTGTTGACTTTGATTTAGCTGAAGTGAGTTCGCCGGAATTCCTTGCTGTGATTTGTTGGTTCCAGAATTTAACCACATATTAGGGTCCTTATATGAGGAACTGCTTAGCTTATCATTAGGAAAGGTATTTTGAATAACATTGTGTGCGTGTGAGTACTGGCAGAATTTCATTTGTTTCATTCCAAGCTGTCATTTGATGTTTATTTTGCGGCAGTTATTGTCTCTGTAATGCTTTTCTGGATACAATAAATAGGTGGAAAAAAAAATTGGTAAGAACCGGGACGGTGCGAAAATGTGAAAATGATTGAAAACGGCTTTGGAGTAATCTTAATTAGGTTCTCTGGCTTTATTTCTTTGAATTTGTGTTGGTGTTATTGAAGTGCTACAAAAGTTGTATAGAGGAGGGACAGGCGTAAAATAGCCTCTGGTTAGAAAATAAAAGGGAATTTTACATTTACGAAACAAGCAGAGTTCTTAAGCTACTGGGTCACGCTGGACGTGCTTCTGCTGAACTTTAGATATGAAGAAGGCGAATTATAATTCTAGACCCTGTAAAAAACAAAAAATTGGTCGGATTTTGGCCGCTGTTTTGTGTATAGGAAGTACAGTGTAAAAAGTTAAAAGAGTAAAAAAAAGATGAAGACGAACGTAAAGGTGTAGTGGAACTTTTAGTTTCCTTTTACCGTACTTTAAGATTAGTATTCTTGTATGAGTCCTACTAAACCTTCTGCACTATTTTTCCTCTTAACACTTGCCTTATACCTTACTCTGAATAACAACCGCCCAAACTTGACTTCTAATTTGAGAGATCCTACTATTCTAATTCACAAAGACAACAATCTCGAAGGTCAATCTTGTCTTCGTGAAGAATTTCACTCAATTTCTTAAGTTGACGATAGACTAGTCTTTTCTAAGCGAGTCCAAATGGGGAAGCTTATTCAGTAGAAATAGAAGTTCTAATTCAAGTTCTAATCGAAGAAATGACGGAACAAAGATAGAGAAACGGCAATTTATGATACGATAAACGGGCAAACAATTGAGGAAATAGAAAATAGAAGAGGTTTTGACGAGTCACAGGTATAAGATCAATTTTAAAAGGATTTTCGGACAGAACATTGACTTCAAAAGGATAAACACAGTAATATCGTAAATGGAAATTGGAGAAAAAAACCTGGCAATTTGTTGAAATTGTTGTGAAGAAAGGTTGTACTGGTAACATACTCCTCTGAGTAGTAAGAGGACTGACAAAACTTGAAAACGATGATGAATGAAGATTGAGAGTTGATCATGAATGAATAAAACTTTACTTTGTTTGTTTTTATACTTTTCATTTTGCGAGCTATGGACTACCCTGATTTGATTTGACAGTACCTTTTAGCTAATTGGGGAGGGCAGATAATTAGAATTTTTATTTTGAAGTTTCTGTTTTTGGTAGGTCTTTTTTGACTTTACAGTACACTTAGGTAACTTAAATAAAATTGAATTTTTTTTTTATATTGGTTGTTGATGATTAGATTGTTCTAACGCCTGATTGTAGTGTTAACTACAACAAAAAGAAGCTTTCTCAGTGGATGCCCTTAACAGCAGTACTACCTCAGAAAATTTGTTGGCTGCACCATCACAGTTGTCTCCAGCGTAAGGGGTGGTTTTTGCCTTTTAAATGTTTCACTTATAGATGGTGATTACCGGTCAAAAAATGGTGAAGATTTCTCTTCATACAATGTAGGAAAAAGAAAGCTGGAGTTAAGTTACTGTATACGTGGATTTGTGAACACATTTGATGAAGTCAAGATTACGGCTTAAGGGGTGAAGGGAGGTTCTTGATTGCAAAATTTATGTATGGTGAAAAACACAACACTAATATACATTTGAAATTCAGGGTTCACGAGTAGTTCCTTTTTTATCACTAAAATTGTTGAGGAAAGCGTAAATTTGTACTTGGAAGTCTAAATTTGTTTTAAAAAATTTATTGAAGCACAGTTTTGTACCTGTATTCTTTTTGGCCTACAAATTATTTTTAAGCTTTTTATTCAGTTCAAAGTTTGCTGAAGTTTCCTACACGGTGGAAAAATTCTGTTTATAAGCTGATTTCGGATATCATTTATTTACGTCTATTTTAACGACGGCTATATGATGCAACTGGTAATTGTTACTGTTATTATAGCAGGAATTTGCAACATAAGGTATACTGTCGTCCAACTGAAAACAAATCTGAAATGTCTACCAATCTGGTGCTTTCGTAGCTTCCAGTATTCAATTAAAAGTTAAAATTGAAGACTGATACCCCTCAACTGTAATGTCTTTTTAACTAATGTGGTGTGAAAATAGATTGGTGAATACGTACGGTACAAATTGAAAAACATTTCTGCAATTTTAGAGCATCTGAATCTTTGAACCCTTCCCCTTCGCCACTACACATTTTTTTTTGCAAAGAAAGAACCTTTGATTAATTTGACCTGTTAACGTTCCCATCCATTTGGCTAAAATATTATACTTTTTCCCTGATGTTAAAATATCATTAATTTTGTAATGAGTTATCGAAGAAAGTGTAGAAGCACCCAGTTGATTTTCTCAAATAATGGCTTTGACAAGCAAAACTTTTATCTGTAAAGTCCATGAATTGAAAAAAAAAAAGAAATTAATTAATACTCTCTAATAAAAAAAAAAGAAATTAATTAATACTCTCTAATAAAAAAAAAAAAGGAACAAACATCAGACAAGCGATACTGAACATTTGAAGTACAGGTATATACCTTTTAATTTGATGCATGTTAAACTAAACAATACATTTAGCACTAGTCGGTGTAAGCAGTATCAAACTGAGCCTTAGTGAATAACAAGCTATGTGTCGTTGTTTTTTGTAAATACTTTATGAATTTCCCTTGGGTTCAAGATGGAAGAAAATTCAAAAAAAAAAAAAAA